TTAGGGTTTGAAGATTCTTAAGATGAGACAAAGATTTCTTTTGTAATGGTGTGGGAAGATTTGTCTTAAATTCTGTCAGGACAAGTATACTCTCCTAGAGCGCTCTGGTTCTGAAGATGGCAAATCTAATTGGTTCCACCTAAAGTTTGAGACTTTACATCCTCCCCAACTAATCAAGCAATACACAATTCAAGTTGAAATTGAAGTTTGAGCAAAACCCTAATCATCGGTTCCTCGGCTGACAACGAAATTCGATAAAGAGGGCAACATAATAGAACAAGTAAGGAAGTACCAATGGCTGTGCGCAAGTGGTCGACGTTACCGGACTGAGCTGCGGCGGCTAAGTCATCGAGGAAGGAGGGGATCTCGGGATCGGAGTCGTGGTCAACAACACCGTTTTGCTCAAAAAGAGCGTTATCTTCCTCAACATCGTCTTCTTCCATCAAACCATTGCCTCCTCTCGGAACCGCCATTGTCCTACTCTCTCTCTCCTCCGCCGCACAATAATATGTTTTTTTATATATACACACTAATCGCCGCCGCGCAATAATCTTACACTAACATTAATTTAGGTTTTCTCGTTTAGTATTAGTCCGTACAGTGGATTTTCTCTAAAATGGATTTTATAAAAAAAAAATTATACTACTAGTAAATAAGATTAGTTACTGCTCTTAGTACATTAAAGAAATTTCTTGATAAAGAAAATAAATTTTATTTTAGGAAAAAATCTAGTAAGAGTAAAAGACTAAAAGTTGATGTATCATATGAAGAAGAGTGAAGACTGATAACAAATTGATGGTTTTTTTAATTAAATCATATGGAGAAATGTAATTAGGAGTGATATTACGCAAATTCTGGAGGGGATGATACAAAAACATGAATTTGGGACAAGTGAATTCTTCTTGTTTTATTTTACCTTTTTATTCAGTTGTTAAATGATTTCAGAATCATCCTTATGAAATGAATCCTGCGTATTAGAAGCTTAAAATGCAATCAAAATATATAAAAATAACACAAGACAAGGGAGGAAAAAATTGGATTTGAGATGCTAATAACACAAAGCTACAAACATCCCCAGTATACATTGTATATAATATGAAAATTTTCACATAAAGTTAATTTACCTCCCACGAAAAAGACAATTAGACAGAAGATCACAAACACATTCTTACTTAGTACTAAACCCCGATTCCATACAGACAAAAGACATTCTCTCTCTCTGATAGTGATAGCTCACTTTCTGTCTACTATTCTCTGAGCAATCAGAATCAGAACCAGAACCGATGATTTTCCCAAAACAACAAAAAACCAAATCCAAGTTTATGAATTTGAAAAAATCAAATAGTAAACGACTTGATCAAATGAGAACCCAAAAAAAGTGAAATAATATTACCATTTTCTTATCGATCTAGGAAGTGATCATATGATCTTCTTCTTCTCTTTCTCTTCCTCCTCCGTCTCGCTCTGCCGCTGCTTGGGCTAATCTCTTCCATGTATATTGTCGTTGTTCTTCAACTTCTTTGGATTTCGCTTGTTTCTCTTCGTACTGTCTCTGGCATTCTTCAAATAGCTCAGGATCCATCTCCATGAACATTTTCTTGATATTTGCGGTTAGACCATGAACTGCTTGGTTCCAATGAGACTGGATGTTCTTCTCCAGTGCAGGGTATATGATTGGAAGGATCACGCTTCGGTTCTGCGCGATTAGGCCCACAATGTGCTCGTTGTTCCACAAGAACAATGCTCGTTCTGCAACCTGTATCGGATTTAAGCGATATGTATGTAAGCATAAGACAAAACCCACAAAGAATTAAGGAAAAATTTGAGCCATTGCACAGAGACATAACAAGAAACTTGTGTAATTGCTAGCAATCAGTGAGGCTTGATTACACACTTTGTGATTAGAACCAACAAGATCAAACCTACTCCAGACTAAACACACAAATGGAAACCATATAGCTAAATATGCTCATGTCTCCCATTTCAAGGCTATTTTCCTATTAAAAGCATTGAGCAATCAATTCCATGGCTCGTGATAAAGCAAAAGCAACAGCGGCAACACATTCAGAGAGTTCGGTCACTCCAAGAAGTTTGAAATGACTGAATCAGAGAAAATGAAGATGATCTAAGAATCCAAAGATTCATTTTTTATTGTATCTATCAACTGAATGAGTGCACTGCCAATCATAATCATTCTGTGAAATGAAATTCAACAGTGTGGCATAAATGGACAAAGAAGCAAGCAAATAGAAGGGAAAAAAACAATTTGTACCATAAATTTGATGAAGTACTAAAGTTGAATTCTTTTTGACTCGAAGGTGACAGGCATAGAAGACACTAACATACAGCAAAAAGAATATACATTGCCTCAATATGCTAAATTTATGTCGTGACTTCTTGGGCAGAAGAAGCTGGAGATGAATCTCCAAATTTGAGGTTGATATGCATAGATAGTGAGGACATTAAAAAAATAACCCACACAGGCACACACGATCACTAACCTGAAAGTGAGAGCTATTGAGGCAGCGACCAATCTGTTGGAATAACGGAACCATGCAACGCTGGAACTCAACAGGCTGTGTTGCCTCAAGAATTTCTTCAAGTTCTCCAAGGAAGAGATTCTCCTTCATGCAGTTTGTCACAGGCCAATACTTTAACAATCCCCTGATTACTGTATCAGCAAGCTTATAATCTTTTTCCACAAACTGAACTACGCAATAAGATAACTGCTGATGATATATCGCGATTGGTTTTGGCTTATGCAGTGGTATCAACACCCTGATTAAAAATAGCTTGTGCTCCTCCTTCATAGGCAACGCAAACCCGTTTATAATACTGCCTAGAATCTCCAAGAGTTCCCCTATCCCACTATGTCTCTCAGTCTCATAGATAAACCTATAGAATATGTTGTTAATTGCTTTCCTAATAAAGGGCCTGTGAACCATAAACTTCCCATAGATCCTATGAAGAATCGTTTTCAAATACTCCCTCTCTCTCGGGTCCTCTGAATCAAACAAGTCAAGCAACTTCAACACAAAAGAATGGTCGATATACCGTTTGGCCACCTTCGTATCTGTGTCAGTTGAAACAACATATCTCAGTAGCAACTCGTAAACTAGCTGTAAATGAGGCCAAGAAGGTTCCAAATAAGGCTCCTCTTCCTCAGGATCTGCAGGCTCTTGACCCGTATTCTCATGTGATGCTGGAGGTAGACACCGGAATATATTAACAGAAATCATCTTAATCATTTCTTCCTGACATGACTCTGAGATCTTACTAGCTCCAGACTGTATAAAATCCACCAGCTCCAACAGCGTTTGCCTCTTAATCTCCTTCTCTCTCGCGTTCTTAATCGTATCCGTGAAATCGAATTGGAAACAGCAGTTCTGGAGTTTCCTCAAGAACAAGGTTTGCCTCTCTGAAACCGGCACATCCCTGAACAAAGGGAGTGGCTCCACCGAGCCTATCGGAGGAGGCGGTGGAGTGGCCGTAACTGGCGACGGAGAAGAAGGAACTAGTGCACCACGAGATGCGTGGCTAACGACCACATTGGAACCAGGACCTGACCTAGCCGGAGGACCAATCCCATAACTAGAAGGTTCATTAGCCTCGGATTTAGAGGGCTTTCGATGCCCACCTTTCATGATTTTCTTGAACATGGCTACGCAACTAGAAGCAAGAGACTCAAAAAGAAACACACTTTTTTCCTCCCTTAACTAGAAACCCTAGGTTTCCGAGTAGATTCACTAGCAGAGGAGCTCAAACTGGATAAGCATGCAACGAAGGACGAATCGAAACCCTGCATATTCAAATTCAAATCCTCAGATAGCTTCCACTATGCCCTTCTCTTCGATCAAAGCTCCTCATTTCGTAAACCCGCGGATAAAGATTGGGGAAAAAGGGAGAAATGATACCGGATTGTTGCCGGAGATCTGAGGTGGCGACAATCAGACCATTGGACAAGAGAATCTGTCCGACAGACTATACACGGATGCGGAAGATCGGACGGCTTTGATTTTCCGGCGATCAAATCAGGA